AAGAAGCTACTACAATGGACCCGATCGAACAAATCGATCTACAACTCAAAATCCTCTTCTATCACTAAGAATAATTGATTTAAACCAAGTGTTTTTATCTCTTCACAAAGAACAAAACACAAGAAGGAAGAAATGAGTATAAGCACGAAGCACAGAACTCCCCAGATGCTTTCTTACGCACCAAGCAAGAGAGATAATGAATGGGATCTACGAACAGGAAAGGTTAGGCTAGTATATATATAAAAGCCCAACAAGAAAGCCAACAAATCAGCCCACTAATCAACCGGGCCAGAGCAACTAACTTAAATTTATTTCTTGGGCTTGGGTTTTGGGCCTGAGACTAATTACGTTATTGGGCAATGGTTATTTAATCTTTTCCAACAATATGGGCCAAGGCCAACGGTTTCATCATTGCCCCAAATGTTAGAAAACTAATGACAATAATAGCATCATTTTCCAACATATGGTCTAATAACTATATCAAGAACTTCTTGGGCAAAAAATAAATGAGAATAGGGGAGCAAAACCTTCACCATTAATGTCGCTATTCCTTTTTTATTATATTACATATATCTTCAATGACCCTCAATAATTGAGTCGTAGATATAAACGGACACAAAACTTCTCATGTAATACTTTTTCTTTATTTTTGTTACCCTTTAAAGTCTTTGCTTTGAATTTTGAAGGTAGATCTTCCTAGTACGTATCTTAAAGTAAAAAAAATAAAATATTTATGTACAATAATTGTATTATTTTGCCATTGACAAGTCAAGGAAATGTACTGCACGCATGTCAAAAATTTAAGAATACGTAAGCGGATAAGCTACATTGTTACACATGTTTGAGGTGTGTCTAGAAAGCTTCATTGCATGTAAAAAATTAAGACGAGGGAAAACAGGACATGCTACATGGCATATTGGACAATGTGGGACAGGACGCGCTTCCTGGCTAATGTTTTTGTGCTTCATAGCTTTCGATGCAACTATTCTCAGCCTTAAAAAAATCATATCTTTCCATTTCAAGATGAACGGGAAACCTTTTGCAAAGTTCAGTGATAAATGATGTGATTTTTAAAGTTCAGTGACCTCGTGGAACCTTTTGCAAAGTTCAGTGATGACTTGGTGATTTTTAAAGTTCAGTGACCCATTGGAAGCATGGCGTAAAGTTCAGTGACTATTTGGGCAATTCACTCCCTAATAATGAGTTGACATTCTTATGCATCATTCTAGATCCTTGGTGAATGAAGATTACTTCTCTCATGTTTATGATTGAAAGCAAATCTTTGGCAGGTCGAAGCCTCAACTTTTTGTGGTTTATGGTGATCGAAGTATTGCTTTTGTTTCACTCTCGACATATAGAGCTAGTTGCTGGTTATGAAAGATTTCTGGTGAACTAGCTTGTTCTAGGATCTTATTTCGTGTCCTAGGAAATCCTGTTGTTTGTATGGTATGCTGTGCAGTTCAGAGATTAGTGTGATCATGCTTTTGTATAACAAATAGACAAGCCTATAAGGTTTATAGGACTGCTAGTGTTCACTTAAATTGGCCGTACTCTTACGTTTATATTCGAGTTTATTTTCATCAATTATTCAACTTAAAAAGTTTTATGCTTTTGGTAGAATAGGGCTGAATTGATGTTAGAGTCGAAGTTACTATGTTTTATTAGATAATTTCATACTATTAAAACATTTATTGATATTTTCCGGTCGATTAATTTGAAGAAATATTTTTGTTCTGTTTTTCCTTTTTCTTCAAGTATGTTTGAAAAATTAGTAAGAATTGTGTAATATGAATTTTGACGTGATTTCAATTGGAGATGATAGAGTTGAGTTGAGTTAATTTCTGGTTTTGGATTCACGTGATTGCTGGTAATATATATTTTGAATTATATATGCATTTTGTCATGATTCCACCGGGAGATGATAGTCCTATGAGTTATAGCCATTTCTTGGATTTGGATTCAAGTGATCGATATATATTATTTTTGCCGTGATTCCAATTGGCGATGATAGTTTTATCTAATTCCTGGTTTTGAATTCATGTGATTGCGTGAAATATATTTTGAATTATATATGAATTCTAATTGGAGAGGATAGTCTTATGAGTTACCTAAATCTTGGATTTGGATTCACTTGTTTGCACGTAATATATTTTGAATTATGGCAATTTTTGTTACAGGTGTCCAAAAGTATCGAATCGAACTGGATCGATCCGAACCCAAACCGAACTGAGCAGTTTTTCATAAGTTAAATACCCGAACGGGTACCCGAATCGAGAATCGATGAGTTTGGGTCGAGTCTCGGGTCTAGACTAAGAGCCGAAGAACTGAAACTATATAAATTTTTTTATTTT